CTTGACAATTAGATGGAAAAATAGCTACAGACATAATAATATTAATAAACTTCAAATTTTAATCACACACAAGACGATTCAGTCCAGATGCAGGACCACACACATGACGTTTTTACAATGGTTTCAGAGTGGCGTTTCCGGGGACTTTGGTTCTCAGTAGTGTGATCAAACGGGACTTCAGACAGAAACAAACATGGAGGCTGACTCTCGTCATTAAATACCTGCACTTATGTGAGCTGTGTTTTGCACAGAAAATTACTTTCACAGTATGTTACTGTATCATTTTAAAATTCATTGTTGTAAAATGATAGCTGTATACTGTGATCTCACAGTATTTATGCCAGTAGAGTACTGTGATTAAGCAGTATATTGCTTTAGATTTCATGTATTTAACTGTAACTTCATAGTCAATGACCAGTAGAGTACTGTGATTAAGCAGTATGTTGCTTTAGATTGAATTGAATTGAATTTTATTTATATAGCTCCAAATCACAATAACAGTTATCTCACAGCGCTTTTCATAAAAGAGCAGGTCTAGACCGTACTCTGTGATGTTATTTACAGAAGCCCAACAATTCCCACCAAGAGCAGCACTAGGCGACAGAGGCAAGGAAAAACTTCCTTTAAGAGGCAGAAACCTTGAGCAGAACCATGGCTCAGGGTGGGCGGCCATCTGCCTCGACTGGTTGGGGGTGAAGGAGAGAGAGAGAGAGAGAGGCAGCCTACACAATATACAACACAGAGGTAGAGACAGTAAAGTTGATGTTGCTATAGACTAAATGAAAAATGGTTTAGATATGTATAGTAGTGTTAATGATAACAATCGTAATGTTAATGATTATAATAACAATAGGAGAAGTAACAATAGTTGTAGCAGAGGATGTCGAGCAGGAACACGGGGGCAGCAGGTGACCCGCAACCACAGATCCAGACTCCACAGCTCCAGAGCCAGAAACACCTGCAGGAAGTGATAGGAGGAGAGAGGAGAGGGACGAGAAAGCACAAGACTACCGGAAAGGGGAGAAGTCGAGTTAGTAACATGCAATAATGGGATGAGGTTGCATACAGACGGAGAGAAAGTAGAGGAGAGAGGAGCTCAGTGCATCACAGGAAATCCCCCGGCAGTCTAGGCCTATAGCAGCATAACTAAGGGATGGTTCAGGACTCACCTGAGCCAGCCCTAACTATAAGCTTTATCAAAGAGGAAAGTCTTAAGCCTACTCTTAAATGTGGAGATGGTGTCTGCCTCCTGAACCCAAACTGGAACCTGGTTCCACAGGAGAGGAGCTTGATAGCGGAACGCTATGGCTCCTAGTCTACTTTTGGAGACTCTAGGAACCACAAGTAACCCTGCATTCTGGGAGCGCAGTGCTCTGGTGGGGTAGTAAGGTACTATGAGCTCTTTAAGATAAGATGGTGCCTGACCATTAAGAGCTTTGTATGTAAGAAGAATGATTTTAAATTCTATTCTGGATTTTACAGGAAGCCAATGCAGAGAAGCTAAGACAGGAGAAATGTGATCTCTTTTCCTGGTTCCTGTCAGAACACGTGCTGCAGCATTCTGGATCAGCTGAAGAGTCTTAATTGACTTTTTCGAGCAGCCTGACAATAGGGAATTGCAGAAATCCAGCCTAGAAGTAACAAATGCATGGACTAGTTTTTCTGCATCATTTTTAGACAGGATGTTCCTGATTTTCGCAATATTACGTAGGTGAAAAAAGGCAGTCCTTGAAATTTGCTTAATGTGAGACTTAAACGACATGTCCTGATCAAAGATAACTCCAAGATTCCTCACAGTGGTGCTGGAGGCCAGGGCAATGCCATCCAGGGAAACTATATCTTTAGATAATGCGTCACGGAGGTGCTTGGGCCCCAGAACAATAACTTAAAACTACAGGTCATCCAGGTTTTAACATCCTGAAAGTACATTTGAAGTTTAGCTAACTGATGAGTTTCATCTGGCTTGATCGATAGATATAACTGAGTATCATCTGCATAACAATGAAAGCTTATGGAACATTTCCTGATAATATTGCCTAAAGGAAGCATAGTGAACAGGATTGGTCCGAGCACAAATCCTTGAGGAACTCCATGATTAACTTGGGCGTGCATGGAGGACTGAAATCGATCGGATATATAGGACTTAAACCAGCTTAGAGCGGTTCCTTTAATGCCAATGAAATTATCCAGTCTCTGCAATAGGATCTGATGGTCAATGGTATCAAATGCAGTACTAAGATCTAGTAAAACCAGTACAGAGACAAGTCCTTTGTCTGATGCAATAAGGAGGTCATTAGTCATTTCACCAGTGCTGTCTCTGTGCTATGATGAACTCTAAATCCTGACTGAAAATCCTCAAATAAACTCTTGCTATGTAGAAAGTCACACAGCTGTTTAGCAACTGCTTTCTCCAGAACCTTAGAGAGAAATGGAAGGTTAGATATAGGTCTATAGTTGGCTAGAACATCCGGATCAAGTTTGGACTTTTTCAGAAGAGGTTTAATTACAGCTACTTTAAAATACTGTGGTACATAGCCTGTTGATAAAGATGGATTGATCATATCTAGTAGAGAAGTGCTGACTAAGGGTAAAACTTCTTTAAGCAGCCTAGTCGGGATGGGGTCTAAGAGGCAGGTTGATGGTTTAGATGAAGAAATTATTGAAGTTAGTTGGTAAAGATTGAGGGAAGCAAAGCAGTCTAAACATATCTGGTTTTACAGCTGTTTTTAAGGTTCCTGAGTTTAGAGATAAGTCGGTGCCAGTTGAGGGCAGGTCTTGGTGAATTTTGTTTCTAATAGTTAGAATTTTATCATTAAAGAAGCTCATGAAGTCGTAACTACTGAGAGCTATGGAAATACTTGGCTCAATAGAGCTGTGACTCTGTCAGCCTGGCTACAGTGCTGAAAAGTAACCTGGGGTTGATCCTATTTTCCTCTATTAATGACGAGTAGTACGCTGCTCTGGCATTACGGAGGGCCTTCCTATAAATTTTAAGACTTTCTTGCCAAATTAAATGAGAATTTTCCAGTTTGGTGGAACGCCAATTCCTCTCACATTTCCACGATATTTGCTTTAATTTTCGAGTTTCCGTATTATACCATGGAGCTAACCGTCTTTGTTTTATTATTTTCTTTTTTAGAGGGGCTACAGAGTCGAGTGTCATTCGCAGCGAGCCTGCAGCACTATCAACAAGATGATCGATTTGGGAGGGACTGAAATTAGCATAGGAGTCCTCTGTTACTTTGTGATCTGATAATGAATTTAGAGCTGATGGAATCGCATCCTTAAATTTAGCTACAGCACTATCAGACAGACATCTTGTATAGAAATTTTTGCCCAATGGCGTGTAGTTCAGCAATACAAACACAAAAGTTATCAAACAGTGGTCAGATAAAGAGGGATTCTGTGGGAACACTATTAAATGTTCAATTTCAATACCGTATACCAAAACAAGGTCATGGGTGTGGTTAAAACAGTGAGTCGGTTCATGAAAACTCTGAGAGAAGCCAATGGAATCTAAGAGAGAGATAAACGCAGTACTGAAGCTGTCATTCTCATCGTCCACATGAATATTAAAATCCCCTACAATAATAACTTGTGTGTGAAAGACCAAGAACAAGGCTTTCAAATGAGTTATAGTTTAGTTTAGGTTTAGAGCTGATTAGTAGGCTAGAGTGGAAGATAGCTGCAACTCCACCTCCTCGGCCTGTGCCTCGGGGAATGTGAGTATTAATATGACTGGGAGGGGTCGATTCCCTTAGGTTAACATATTCTCCATCACCCAGCCAGGTTTCAGTAAGACAAAATAAATCAATCATAATCTGATATTAGTTCATTTACTAGTACACCTTTCGAAGAGAGAGATCTGGAGCCGGTTGCACCAACAGGGCTTTACTAAGCCTGGTCCTAACTGCTAAGTAGGTCTTAGTTAAGACCAGTCTTTAGAGTTGACCTAACGTCGGTTGCACCAACCAAACTTAAGCCTAGGCTTAACTACGCCTGGTCTTAGCGATGCGCGTTCATGTGAATGGCCACAGAACTATAGCGGTTGCCTAGCAGCGTGCGTTGCTGGGTTATGCTGTAAACTATCTTCCGCTGTTTTGTTAACTTGTAGCCGTCTCAATGGATGATCAAAGAAAAAGGAAAGGAAATTTCACCGACATTGAGATACGAAAGTTAATTGAGCTGTACAGTCAGCACAGACACACACTGACTGCCAAGCAATCAAACTCAATAACGAAGAAGAAGAAACAAACAACATGGAAACAGATAACGGAGGCGATTAACGATTGCTCTGACTCTGGCTGCTTTCGGACAGAGAGCGATGTGAGGAAAAAGTGGAAAGACCTCCTGAGCAAAGCAAAAAAAGATTTGTCTTCAAAAAAACACCACCCGACCGGCGGGGGTCCTCCCCCAGAAACCTCCGTGTACAGTACCATAATTGTGGATATCTTTGGAGAGGATTCCCCGGCTTTTATTGGTTTGGTCGGTGCGGAAAGTGGCGGTACCGATCTGGAAGAAACTGCTGTCTCTCTAGAGATGGATGTCGACCACTCAAGCGAGAGTGTGAATTGTGAAGGTGTGTAGCCTATATATTGGAGTAGCCTCCAATAACAGTTTTAGTAGTTGTCAGGTAACAGTAGGCCTATGACAGATTCTCTGTATTTTCAGACTCGACGGAGGCCCAAGTCACTCCACAAAATACTCATGAAGGCAGCAGCGGTGCACCGCCGATGAAACAGAGGAGGAGGCTGGAAGATCTGCAGCAGACACTTCTTGAAAAAGAAATTGTTAGAGTGGAGGCTGAAACAAAGAAATTACAGGCCGAGCAGGAAAAGCTGGAACTTGAAAAACAAATAATATCATTAGAAATACAGTTGCTCCAACAACAGATAAGCAGGTCATCTTCGCCTATTTCTGAAGAGGATGGGCGGTCTTTTGTAATTCTGTAAATAAGCCTAATGGCAAATTGTGTGCAATGAATCAATGACAATTATATGTAAATTAAAAAAAGAGTTTATTATAAACCTACTGGACTTTCTTTGTGGCTTATTTTTTATGGCAGAATTATTTTAAGTGAAGCAATAGTTTATAACATTTATAAAGCATTAATAATACGTGTACGGACTAGTCGTCCACCGACATCTTCATGCCCTGCATGGTCCACAGGGTCGGCACCTTCCTCCGGCACCGGCTGGTGGTGTTGCCTAGGGAGAGGGATCCTCTTGGTGACACAGATGTTGTGGAGGACAGTGCACGCTGCTATTACGGTGCAGACTTGCTCAGGGTGCATCCGCATCTCTCCATGAAGACAATGAAACCTAGAAAAAAGAATTAATGATTAGGCTACTGTAAAACCTAAATCTGTCACGTTTGCCGAGTTTTATATAGCCTAGGCCTAGTCTATTTATATAGTCTTCAGTGATCTAGTGACCACACTATATCAGCACCATGGATAGCGGCACAGACACTGCGGAAGGAATTTTACCTGCGCTTGAGGACTCCGATGCACCGCTCAACGAGGGACCTAGTGGTGGTGTGGATGGTGTTATACCGTCGTTCTTGCTCAGTCCTCGGAGCAATTATAGGAGTCATCATGCAGTGTTTCAGTGGGTATCCACTGTCACCGAGAAGCAGCCCATTTACTCTTCCAGCCTCGAAATCCTGGTATAACGCACTCTCTCGGAGGATGCGTGCGTCATGGGTAGATCCAGGCCATCTTGCCACCAAATTAAAGATGTTATAATTGGCGTCACAAGCAATCTGCACATTGATTGAATGGTATCCCTTGCGGTTGACATCAGATGGTGCTTGGATCCGGATGTGAGTCCCATCGATGCAGCCCACAATACCAGGAATGTCAGAGGCCCGGAGGAATCTGTGTTTCATCACCGCACACTCGGCCTCAGTGGGGAGGTGAGCAGATCGTGGAAGGCGACGGCTCAGTGCCAGTGACACTCTGCGGATGGCCCGACATGCGGTGGATTTGTGGACATTAATCATGTCTCCAACAGTGTTTTGAAACGCACCATTTGCATAAAAACGTAGCGCTATTAACAGCTGTAATGCGGGTGTCAATGCTGCGTTGTGATCCGACACAAACTGTAAGTCGGGTGACAGCTCTTCAACAAGTTCATATATATCTCTCCGACAAAATCGAAACCTCTGAATCAGCTCCTCATCATTGTAAATGTCCAATGGATTGCTTCTGTCCCTAATAACTCTCTCCCATCTAAAAGCCCGCTCATTGTAAAGTCTGTGTATAAGGCGCGCCATGTCTTTACTGCTGAGTTATCAAGTGGTTACTATAGAAACTTTCCTAGATTTTTACTTTACGCCTGCTACTGACTAGGCGTAAGATTTACGCCCGGTCTTAGCGAGAAGAGGACTTAAGCCTGGATGGTGCAACTGTCATAACTATTAGGTCGGACTTAGAATGCTGAGTTAAGACCTACTTACCTTAAGCCCAGGCGTAAGCCCTGTTGGTGCAACCGGCTCCAGATGTTTAAGAGTCCACATAGGATCTTCACTAAGTAACTCCTGAAATGGAGGAGCAGAGAAGTGTGTTCGACTGGTCTCAACTCTGGGTTTTCATAGATTTGGTCCACTAATAAACTTGGCCAGATTTCTAGAAATGAGAGCTGCTCCTGGGATGGATGCCGTCTCTCCGAATCAGACCAGGTCTTCCCCAGAAAGTCTGCCAAAGATCTACAAAGCCCACATCGTTTGCTGGACACCACCTCGACAACCAGCGGCGGAATGACGACATGCGGCTATACATGTCATCACTGGTCAGATTTGGCAGGGGTCAGGAGAAAACTACAGTGTCCGACATTGTTTTTGCATATGTACACACCGTCTCAACATTAATCTTAGTGACCTCCGATTGGCGTAACCAGGAGTCATTACCGCCGACGTGAATAACAATCTTACTGTATTTACGTTTATCCTTAGCCAGCAGTTTCAAATAAGAATCAATGTCACCCGCTCTGGCCCCAGGGATGCACTTAAACTATGGCCGCTGGCTTCGCTAACTTCACGTTTCTCAAAATGGAGCTGCCAATGATCAGTTGGTTTCTCAGCTGGTGTGTCGCTGAGTGGGGAAAATCTGTTAGAAACGAGAAGAGGTTGGTGATTACCCGTGGGCTTTGAATGCTTACGACTATTCCTCCTTCAGACATTCACCCAGCCACCCCTTCCTGGCTGCTCAGGAGATCCCGGGGGACGGCTACCACAGGCTAACTCAGGCCGTTCCGCACCGACTACGGGGACTGGCTAGCTACAGTAGCTAAAGACTTATTTACCAAGGTGCGGAGACGGACTTCTAAATCACTGAGCCTTGCCTCCATGTCTACAAATAAACTACACTTGTTACACGTACCATTACTGCTAAAGGAGGCAGAGGAGTAACTGAACATCTGACACACAGAGCAGGAGAAAGTAGGAGAGCGAGAGGGAGAAGGAGAAGCCATCTCTAGCTGCTGAGCTAATGTCGCTAACGGCTGAGCTAAAGTACTGTAGCGTCAGCTACCAAAACTTTAGAACAACTATGAGATTGAACAGCAGTCACTAAAAGATGGAAAGAACTGTGAGTGCTTAGGCAAAATTATTGTAAGAATAAATGTTTAGTGGACAGTTGGCCGCAGTAATCGAACAAATTTAACTGGTATTTAGCGAGAGCAGCACAACACGCTGCCAACACACAAGCACCGGAAACGGATGAGTCAACACGCTTACCGCAGTACGTCAGCGTACGTCAGCCGACGTCTAAAGCAACATTTAATGTATTTAACTGTAACTTCAGTTAATGACCAGTAGAGTACTGTGATTAAGCAGTATGTTGCTTTAGATTTCATGTATTTAACTGTAACTTCATAGTCAATGACCAGTAGAGTACTGTGATTTAGCAGTATGTTGCTTTAGATTTCATGTATTTAACTGTAACTTCTAACTGTAACTTCACTGTAACTTCATAATTACCTACTTTATAAAACAATTGGCGCAATATACATACAATTGAATTTTAAAGACATCGTAACCTCCAGTTTAACATGAATCAATTCCTCGCTGTCTCTTCGATTTTGTGCCCGTCTCTGGATTAATGCCCCAAAACACCTATAAACACAAGGAAAGCCGTTTCATTCAGGTAGGATGATAAAGGTGGCATTTCCCAAACAGTCCCCCCCAGCTTTCAGTGGGTCACTGCTGTTGTATGACAGAGCTAAACTTATCTCTGTCTGGACAAGGTGACATTACTGTGGTTCAGATAAAAACCAGCCATTTAAAGAAACAGTAACTGAAAACCATTTTCATTACAAACACTTCAATCAACAAAGTGCAGGTGTGTGATTTACCTAGGCAGAGTAGCCTGAGCGGTACTAGCCTGTGCCATTGACAGAGAGGGGCATGTAATGCATGCACCGGGGGCTATACGGGGTGAGGGTGCTTTCCCCGATTGGGCAAATGCAAAGTGCAAACAATTCTGTCATTCTGTCATAGGTGCTGAGGCGTGGCCTTGTGAGGGAAAAACAATAATGGGCGGAGCATGGAGCATGTAAAAAATTGAACTAAAATTCAAACAAAATATTAACTTCAAATCTACAAAAGTACTCAGAACTGAACAAGGACAATTTTTAAAACGGCTTCCTCTCTGGTCTCCAGCACAGACACGTGTTGAGTCTATAATACAGCTCTCAGGGAGGCACGTTAGCAGTTGCCTGCTGTGGTCCTGGGCTGCTCACAAACACAAACACCCAAACATAACTACTTTCAACAAGCCCTCAAGCACAATAGTAACGTAGACATTTACCTTTAGATAAATTCCAGAGTGCATGAAGCACCTTCAGCATACTTCTAATTTAAATTGTAATAGCTGGCGAAAACGACAGCCAAACCACTGACGAAGTCCTGGTGAGGTCCTATGACCACTTGGCCCTCCGCAGACAGCATCCATGCACTGGGCTTCATTATGTCACCTGAAACAAATTCAAATATACTCACCATACTAGTGGAGAGCTGCTTCTGGAACGCGCTGTGGCACGTCTGTTGTCAGCACAAGCATTGACTAGACTACCTCAATATGGTGCAGGCTTTCCCTGTGTGGATTCAGAGTATGAATAAAATAATTTTTCTTTAAAGAGAAGTTATGAAAATATTTGTGAATGCTCTTAGTTAATGTTCTTAGAAAGAAAGAAAATCAGAATCAGCCATTTTCAGAAAACCATCCATCCATCTTCATCCGCTTATCTGGGGTCGAGTCGCGGGGGCAGCAGCTCCAGCAGGGGACCCCAAACTTCTCTTTCCCGAGCCACATTAACCAGCTCTGACTGGGGGATCCCGAGGTGTTCCCAGGCTAGTGTGGTGATATAATCTCTCCACCTAGTCCTGGATCTTCCCTGAGGCCTCCTCCCAGCTGGACGTGCCTGGAGGCGTCCTTACCAGATTTTAAATATTGACATTTTCATTTCAGGTACCTCAACATGTTCTCGACTCGCTGGAAAAGGAAGTAACTACTGGAGCTGAGATCAGACCACAACAGAGAGCTCACAATTCCACACATAGATGTGAAGATGTAAAACAAATTCACTGTTTACAATTTGATTTAGCCAGGAGGAGATTAAGAGCTGGAGGGATAATGTTTTTGAGGAAGTTAGGGATAAAGGACAAAAGTGTAGTTCTACCAGATGAGTGTGCACAGCAAAGAGACACTCGCTGGATCAGTACCAAAAAAGCATGACTTGATGGTGTGAAATGCATTAAAAAAAAATTAAGAAGACATCAACATTATCTTGGTGTGCTTGGTAGCATTACCATCCTTTCAATGTCAGTGGCTGTGGCACACACCTGCAAATATAGAATAAGAAAAGATTAAGACTCAACTGTTACCATATCTTGTACCCATAGATTTATCTTTTTTTTAGTCAGTACACATATTGTAAAACTTAGATTGTGATCATGTGTTATGTATGAAGTACTCAGTCCACTCACCAAGAATTTAGCTATCACTATAAGGAACACCTGTAAACCTGCTTATTCATGCAATTATCCAATCAGCCAATCATGCGTTCAGGGTTTTTCCTGCAAAGAGATGTTTTTAGCAAGCGCCAAAGGAAAATCACCAGCGCCAAAATGATATGAATTGGGGGAAAAAAGCATTTCAAATCCCCTCCGAACGTGTTTTAATAGCCATTTATCAAACAAGCAGAACATAAACTTAAATACGACGTCTTGTCTTCCAGCAGTCACCTCTCCTCACATTCACAGCCGCAGTATTTTACACATGCAGCTGGCGCTGGATTAATAAACCAGCTGCTGCGTTGGTTTGACTGCGCCTGAACGCTCCTCCATGAAGCTGTATTAACCGGTACTAGCACTTTCACATTTTACTCCGGCACCGGTTCTCTTCTCTGCCCTCTCCAGATTAGGTTTTCTGGGTGCTACGTGACGCTCGCCTGTTCACGTTCTCTCCTTCCTGCTAATCTCCGCAGGGAGATCAGGAGCCTTTCATGCGTGTTTAAAGTTGCTCGTCAAAGTCACTTCATGACCAATCACAGCCTGGAGCAGGCGGGACATTACAAAAAGGTTGAGGAACTACAGCAAACTTAAGAAATGTTGAACGTGTTGTTCTGTATGTCCGGTTATTATTACAGCATAAAAAAAAATGAGAGACTAACCACCATGAAGAGCATTTTTCTTGCACAGTAACTTAATGACTGAAAACAACCCACAAAATTAAACTGCTGTTTTGTCCAACTGGAATTAATATTATAGGAAAATATCAGAAAACGGTTTTGTGTAAAAAAGCTGAATCTCAACTAATAAACTATCTGTAGGAATACTATCCAAATAAAGTGTAAACTGTAAATATATAATTGTACTGACATTATACTTTCTATTTAATGTTATAATATTTATTAATACACTAATTTACACATTTACTCCTCCAGGTTGTGGATATATTTTGTTTATCAAATGGTCAGAAATAACAAGAAAATGCATAGATTACGGTCATAAGGTATCGCACTGCCTTTACTGTACGAGCACCGATCATGCTTAAGTTAATGTTACTGTCGAGCAAAGTCACCACCCAAAGGCCCATTATGAGCCAGGAAAAGCCCTGTGTGTTTTCCTTACAGTTGACAAGATAGGCAACGGCTGCTCTCTATCACACCCAGCACCAGAGAAAATTACGAAGGTTGTCAATCTTAAAATAGAAAGTGTGTGTAACTTAGCTAGAAAGATAACTTAAGTTACTTCACCGCCCTGTAACGTCAGTCTTGTCACCATGCTGTAAGGTAACGTTAGCTCACAAATACAAACATCGTCAGACACAAAAATCAAATAACCCGAGTTCTTACAAACGTGTATCTTACAGCTACAAATCCCTAGTTCTTCAGACTGTCAAGCTAAGTTAATGCATTTTCAAAAACAAATATGAGTGCCGCTTGGTCTAACAGCAGCACTCACTCTAACTGCCCGCAGTGGAATTTTCCAGACAAGACCGTTGACTTGAAAACTAACTTCCATCAGACAATGGACATGCGCAGTTCATTTTACAGTTGACAAGAAAAGCAACGGTTGCTCTGTATCACATGCATACACCGCAGGGGAGAAAATTACAAGCTA